GGAAGAAGAAAAGAAGAAACTATTTAAAGATTGGCGGGGGCCTGGGGGCTCACTCCGATGCACCCGGGTCGCCAGCCTCGTCGCCACTGTCGCCCACTCTGCCGTCATCGTCCTCCTCGTCGGAGTTGAGGGCGAATGCGAGCCGAGGGGCCGAACCCTCGAAGCTGTGGACGATATGGTCGGCGGTGTCCCGGACCTGCGCGCGCGCGCCATCCTCGGTCCCGGGAGGGAACTCGTCCAGCGCCGTCCATGGGGAGAAGTCGGGATCCCTGGCTTGGTAACTCGCCAGTACGAGCTCCACCGCTCCTCGGGCGAGGTCCCTCGAGGATGACTTAATCGTCCTCTCGAGCTCCTCGGGGAGCCGTTGGAGAGTCCCGGCTATCTCCGAGAGGCGCTGGGCGAGGCCCCCCTGGTTGGCGGCGTACTTCGCAGTCCGCCCGCCCCAGAGGCCCACCTGCCGACCGGCGCGGTCTAGACGGGAGACGGCGTCCCGAAGCATGCCGGGCCCTACCTCGCCTGCCAAGCGGAGGGCCTCGACCTCCCCGGCGGACGAGTCTAGCGCGCCCTGCAAATCGGCGATGGTGTGTTCGGCAGCTGCGAGGCGGGTGGTTAAGTCGCTTTCGCCCGCGGCCGCCCCGCCGCTGCGCGCCCTCGCGTCCAGCTCCTTCTCCCGCGCCTCGAACTCAGCGGCCCGCTGGTTCAGCGCGGCCCTCTCGGCGCGGGCACCTTCCAGATTACGGCGCGCTTCTTCCTCTTGCGCAGCCTCGCGGAGGGACAGGCTGTCCGCCAGCCGTTGCGCCGCGGCCTCGGCCTCCTCGAGAGCTCGCTCCCGCTCGGTGAGCGCGTCCTCGCGGAGGCGGAGCGCGGACTCTTCTTCGGCACAGGCGGCTTCGTGCACCGCCAGTGTGACCTCCCGAATAGCAACGGCGGCCTCGCGATCCGCCAGGTCCCTCTCCATGGCGCAGGCACGCTCTTCCAGCGCCATGGCACGGGCCTCAAGGGCTTCTTCGCGCCGCCGGGATACCACCTCGGTCTCCGCCGCCCGCCGTTCTCGGGCAGCGGCAGCGTCAAGGACCCCCCGGGCGGCGTCGAGCTTCTTCCCTAGCTCCGCCTCCCAGCTCCCGTATTGAAGGCGGAGGGTGTCCTGCGCCTCGTTCATCACGGTGGTGGCGATGAGGGCAGCCCCCCGCTCCTCCTCCACCTCCTTGGCGATCTCCCCCAGCACCTTCCGACGGGCTTCGAGCTCTGAGACGTGCCGGCGGTGTGCCTTGCGGCCCACCTCCACCATGGCCTCCACCGAGCGTCGCCCCTCTTCGACACGCGCCCATGCGGCGTCGAGCTCCACCCGCTTTGCTTGCAGGGCCTCCACCTGGGCACTTAACCCGTCCAACACTGTGGTGTTAGCGACGGCCAAGGCCTGCAGAAGAGGTTCTGCGCTCAGTGGAGCAACGGAAGGCGTGGGGAAGAGCCGCCTCGAAGAGGATGCCGCGCGGCTTGGCCCGCCGATGGACGTGCCGGGCTCGGGGATGTCCCCCGGACCTGGTTTGTCCTGAGCGTCGCACGAGGGAGTGGGCCCAAGCGATGCGCTCGCGGCCTCATCGCGAGCTGTTTCGGAAGTCGTCGTCGCCTCGGCCTGGCGAAGTCTGGCCTCCTCCCGAGCGGCTTCTTCAGCTTGACGAGCTCGGACGGCCACCTGGGCAGCTTCCTCGGCTTCTCGAAGGCGATCCGCGGCCTCTTGCCGGTCAGTTTCACGGGTCGCCTCGGAGGATGTCGTTGCCTCGGCCTGGCGGGGTCCGGCCTCCTCCCGAACGGCTTCCTTGGTCTGGCGAGCCCGAGCGGCCTCCCGAGCGGCCTCCTCGGCTTCCCGAAGGCGATCCACGGCTTCTCGCCGGTCAGATTCCCGCCTCCGGGCCTCTGTGGTCGCCGGGTCCTCGGCCTCAGACTGGCCGGACTTGGAATGGCGGGAGGGACGCGACGGGATCTCGCTGAAACAGAAGAAAGACCAGAAGACAAGCAAGATGGATGAGTGAAAACTCGCGTTGAAGGAATGAATACGGCCACGATGGGCGTGGGACGAACCTGCGAGGGGGTCGGTTAAACGACCACCTTGGAGGGGAAATAAGGTTTCCCCGGGATGGTTCTGTCCCCCCCATCTTGCGGGGCCGTTTCTTCTTCCGCTCCCCCTCGGGCTGCGACGTCGGCGTGGCCCCCTCCGGGCGCCTGCTGCTGGCACGCGCCGCCCCGCCCCCTCGGGGAGGAGATGGGGGAGGGGTTCCTTCCTGCTTCCTCTTCCCCCGGGCGTCGGCAGGGCGGCCGCTCCCCGGGCCCCCGACGCGGGGCCCAGAAGCACGACCCCCTCCCGGGGTAGATTGTTCCCCCCCCCCCCCCGCGGCTCCCGCCCGCGCCATCGTGGCCTCGAGGAGCCCGCTCCTCCGACGCCCCGACCGTCTGCATGATGGTCAGGATGGAGGCGCGGTCTGGATCGCTGCAGAGGGGGAGGACTCCTTGAGGAATGAGGGATGCCTCCACGGAGCTGAGATTCAGCACCCGTTGGACCACTATCTTGAAGTCCTCAGGAGCCCAGTCCCATCTGACCCCCTGGTGGGTCCTCATACAGTCCTCGGACCCGGTGTACTCCCAGGCGCCCCGGGCGCGCCGTTGGAGTGGCGCGATCCGGCGACGAAGATAGTCGCCGAACACCATGGCCCCTGTGAGCCCCTGGGATCGCAGGCCCGCCAGGCGGTCGAGGACGGCGTCGTAGCCATCTCCCAGATCTACCGGCACCCGCCAGTTGGAGGCCTGCGCTGGAGGCTGGCTCGGAAGTCGGAGGCGCGCTTCGTCGGCGAGGGGGGTGTAGAACCAGTCGCTCTTCCAGTCATCCCACTTCTTGCGGAGGACGCAGGGAATATAGCGGTTCAGCACCGGCCCCCGCGGCTGGAAGTAGCAACCACCAACCACCGACGGCGGCGACACCGGCTGTACGGTGAAGAACCACCGGAACAGCCGAAGGGATGGGCGCACCCCGATGAACATCTCGCACAGGTGCGCGAAGATGACCAAATGTCATTACCGCGTTGGGGTGAGGTGCGCCATCTGGAGATCGTAAAACTCCAGAATATCCATGAAGAAAGAAGAAAATGGCGGAACCAGCCCTGCCATAGCAAAAGGGAGGAAGAAGACGGACCGCCCCGGGTAGCGTGGCGCCGGGCATCCCTCGCCCAGCGAGACTATCTCCCGGCCGGTGGCAGATTCCGGCATGAAGCGGCGCGGCAGCCTGGCCTGTCTCTCGCTCACGATGCGGGAAGGCGGCAGCACGCTACCGTCAAGCGGAGCGGAGCCCCGTGCCATGACGCCGGAAGAAGAGATGTTTGAGAGCGAGCGCGTGTGGCGAAGGTAGGGCACAGGAAACAAGGAGTCAGGGCGCAAGCGGCGAAGACAAGGGGAATAATGGCGAAAGGAAGGAAGCAAATCTCTTCCTCGGCGACTTTATACCCTTGCCAACGCTATGCCCGGCTCCTCGTTTTTCGCGCCCACTATCTGCCCCCTCGTTTCTCGCGCCCACGCTTCCACTAATCCCATTCGCCCGTTTGCGGTGCATGAGGCGGATATGCGGCTGTGGCAGTCGAGATGGAACATCTCGTGCGCGCGTTAATTACGCTCGCCGACCGAAGCGCCATCATCATATCTCCAGGAAAAACGAACCGGCTCGTCCCGATTCGCGTGTTACTCGAGTAATGTGGCAGTCTTGAAGAGACCGCTCATTATTGACAGCCGAGTAACCATTGCCGATGTGCGTGATTTGCGACCGTTGGGTTTCTGCCCAACTGTGGAGACCGGTCCCACCTGTCACCAGGCCTTAGGAAATGGCGTCACGCCCGACCGCTTCCCTCGAGGAGGGCGATCGCCCTGGCATAACGCCGGGGGCTACTGTCGGTGACATGGGACCGGGAGTATCATGACTTAGAGACTTGAGGCAGACACGATCACCCACGTGGCCTAACCCCCTCGGGGGGGGGTCGGGCCCGAGGGTGATACGGCCGCCCTTCTCTTTGTCTCCCCGAGGGGTCGGACCGCTCCCGTCTCGGCCCCGAGGGCCGAGGCGCCCCGACCCCTTGTGGGTTTTGCGCCGCGTATATGGGGTAGGTGAGCATAGCGGGGCTCACCTAACCACATTTATTGCGGTTTGGACGAGCGCATCACGCCGTATCAAACGCAGTGCAGCGCACTCGTTTATCCGGTCTGTGACCAGTCACAGACCGGTCAGATCGTGGGTTAGGTGGCGACAGGCGGTCTGACGCACGCCTCGCCCCATCCCGTCAGGACGAGAGCCTCCAAGCACTCGTCCCTAGCCGGAGCCGGCGTGTTAACTCCTGGAGATGGCACGTTGGTTCCGGTCAGATATATGCCAGGCTTCATCCTAACCATTACTGGCAAGATATTGTATGAAGAAGGGCGAACATGCAGATTGATAAACTGACGCGTGGTGGACAAGAATGACCGATTTGTGACCGGTCTGACACTGGTCATGTCGTCAGCAGACAGCCATGTTCCCACGTCACGCCTGCTTCCGGCGGAAGTGGAGGTAGGTGTGGGCCGTCCCATCAGAAGGTCATTCGGACGGCAACCATACAAGTCTCCGTCTGATTATGAAAAGGTAGGATAAGTCCCCACAAAAAAGAGAGATGGTGCATGTGGTATCCCCTTGAGATATAAAAGGAGGACCTTGCCCACTTAGAAGGGGGAGGATTTTTAGGAAGAAAAAGAAGAGAACGATCAGGGGCTGGCTGGCACTTTGTAGCTTCTTCATACACAGATCCACCAAAACACAGGAGTAGGGTATTACGCTTCTCAGCGGCCCGAACCTGTATACATCGCCCGTGTCTTGTGCTTTTTCCATTCTCGCGAACCTTCCACACACAGACCAGGAGCTTAGAATCTCACCCAGGGCCCCCGGCCGAACCGGCAAAGGGGGGCCTGCGCGGTCTCCCGGTGAGGAGCCCTAAGCTCCGTCAATATTAATAGTGTAGTATATGTTTACAGATAACTATTGTATGAATTGGCTATTAAATCGACTATAGATGATTTAGAGCTAATAGTTGGCTATATACTATTAAACTTGCTCTAAGATCATAGTATACATTAATGATATTCTTCCGGCTCCTCTGATCTTCAATAACACACAGTAAATAGCCCCGAAACCAACCAACAAACTTTTTCTCGCCATCAAAGGCCCAGGACCTCTACCATCAGCTTCATAGAATACACAGCTTCAGGTCTACCAATAAATTAGATCCTGTATAGATGAACATGAATGGACATAAGAATTGCATTTTACCAAGATAAAATCCTAGTACTAGAAAATGTACTGAGAACAGCACAGGAATTAATGAAATAATCAAATGCACGACACATGTATTATGGCTAGCTTTTGTAATGAATAGCTATAATTTATTATGGATCTGTTTGGTTAATGCCCAATTTTCCATGCACTGTATCTGCCACAGAAAGGATTTTGATGAGAAGAAACTCCAAGCACTTACTGCTTCCCCGTCCTTTTTGCCGTCCTTAATCTTAAACTCCAGAAAATGGCATGTTGAATGTTGGCAAGATTAAGAAGCGTAAACTGCACAGATCCTGATTCACCCAAATATATGAAAGGACTAACTTCAATCTCACAGAGAATAAACAGAGGAACAGCACAGTACAAAATGTCTTGTAACCTGTCAATTTGAAGCCTTGAAATTTTCTGGATTTTTATCCTGGTCTTCTGGAGAGGTAGATCATATGTTTATCCTGATCTACCTGGCACCCAAAATATATATAATTGGACATGTGATAGGCTTCTGAATCTAAGGTATGTATGTCGCCGTGAACCTCTGTGTGCGACTGAAATAAATAGTACACTCAATATACCACTACTATATCACATCAATCTTTCCACTCATAAAAATGAAATAGACGATTGATCCAAGCTCTGCAGGTTGAAGAGTCGAACAAGCAACTGTTTTCATACTCTTAGAGGGTTCGGAGTACAAATATGATCGGCAATAGCAAAGCAAATATGGCAAAACCAAACAGAAATATGGGTAACCCTGCATTTGAGTCACTAATGCTATCCCTTTGGATATAACATTCTACTCCCTCTGTTTCATAATGTAAGTCATTCTAGCATTTCCCACATTCATATTGATGTTAATGAATCTAGACATATATATCTATCTAGATTCATTAACATCAATATGAATGTGAGAAATGCTAGAATGACTTACATTGTGAAACGGAGGTAGTATATGGATACATAAGTAGCACTAATCTTGTCTGGACAGTCCATTGAAGCAAATAATTGATGACAAATACATAAATAAATGTGGTACATCGTAAATAATCAAAAGGCTTATCATTGTGAATGCATGAGCCTTAATTTGACAACAACATTATGTAGTGTATTCTGTACAAGTGGCCATTAAGGATTTAAAGCTTAGACGAATTATATTTGAAACTTCACACACTCACAGCTCTACTCTCTCAAACAAAATTTTGCAGCAATGCTCAGTGAATAGCAGAAGCTGCAGAATGCCCAAGCTTTATAGTGATTGTAGTAAAAAAAGATCACCAGGATTGTGTAGTATTGTAGTACTAATTGGTGAGGCCAAATAATTTCTGGAGGAATTACCTTGAAGGATGGCTCCATTCTCGAGCACATGCGCTCCCAGGTGGCATAAATGATGGTGCTCTCCCCAGCATAATCAGCTCATAGACAAAAGAATAATACCCTAGAGATATTCCAATCAGATTACAGTTCAAATAGTACAAATTAAATGAACTCATCTATCAAAAACGAAGTTGCTAATAAACTGGAAGAAGTGATTCGCTCAACAATAGTTAGGATGGGCAAGCTAGACCCTAGATTGAAACAAACAGGCTAAATCATCAGGTGTTTGGGCTACATTCATAATCTAGATTATTAAGAGAAGTAACTAGTTTTCAGATGAGTTCAGAAAAAATCATTGATTGAAGTATATTTAACCCCACATGAGGTAAATTTAACTCATATAAGTATGACCTGCAGAGATTTCTTTTTGTTTCTCCCATATCAACAAGAAGTCAGTAATAATTTAAAGTAGGATGTAGGAATGGTTTTTCGCTAGCATCTGAATCACCCTACCCAAGGATCCGGCAGCTCTTCACCATTCTCTTCAACCTTCAAGCCTTCATGAAATGCTCCACAATTTGTTGACTGTTGATTAGAAATAGGAAATTTAGAAGAAGAAAAAAAAATACTCCACATGAGCTTGAAAAATGTAACATGCAGTTTTGAAATCAACCTCATGGCCCACAGTACTTGAGCTAAAGAGATGACGGTGCAGTTCAACAACAAAGAATACACATCAGGGGGGAATGGTGGTGCACCTAAAATTTTAGGTGTTTGGGAATTGAAATATCACCACTCAATGACTATGGTTCAATGAGATAATTACTGCACAAATTATTGGTCATTATTGGACGATGTACCAAAACAGTCAAGAGCATATCCACTGGTTGCAGAATAGTACCACAAATGAAGTATAAATCTCCGTGTATATGCAATCTTAATCTTCCCAATCATATGATCAGTACAATCAACAGGTATAAAATTTAGAAATTTTATTTGGATTGGGTGTGGAAAAGGTCAACCAGGTAACTGCATGACCATAGATGTAACTGTAATCTGAAGTTCTGAACAGTACCTTAATCATCAAATTATTGACCATGGAATTACTGCAAGCGCAACAGACCTTGACATCCAACTGAGCCCAATAATCTGACTTCCTTTAAGGCCAAACCAAAGAATGGATGCTACAATCCTACAAGCTTGCTTAGCCCAGCAACAAGAGAAGACCAACCATAAAATTTGCTGATGTCCTCAAGTACCATGCACAAACAGTAGGCTGCCCTGAATTCGCAGACTCTCAACAAGGTTAACACTTTCAGCAAACTTCCCACATTTGTGAAAGTACCGGAGTAAGCATGTCATACTGATGGCATCAAGGTTGATTCCTTCCACATGCATACGATAGAGAACCATACGGATAACTGAAGCATTCTGCTGCCTGCAGGCTGCAGAGAGGATAGTGTTGAAGGAGACTGAATCACAGGGAACACCAGTAGAGCTAAAATGGTCCAACATCTGCAATGCCCCCTGAAGATCCAGCTCCATACAGAAGCCTTTCAGTATAGTGTTATATGTTGTAGTAGATGGTACAAGTCCTCTCTCCATCATTCCACTAACCAAAGCTAATGCTTTCTTAACCTGCCCATCACAGCATAAGCTATGGAGGTATATATTCCAAGTGATAATATCCACATGATTGCTCCTGTTACATACCATTCGTATAAAATTCTGACAGGTCATGACATCCCCAGTTTTCAGAAAGCCAGCAGCCAGAGAAGAAATGGTGAAATAGTCAGGGACCAATCCTGCCTCCTCCATCAAATCAACAATCACCCGAGCTTCTGGTATTCTATCTTCGCAGCAGAGTGCATGGAGTAGCACATTGCATATGGTGCTATCAAGACAACAGCCATTTTTGCATGCCATCCTGAAAACATGCATCGCAGCATCAATCTTACCATCTCTACAGAGGAAATTCACAATTACGGTATATGTTACAACAGAGGGTTTGCACTCTTCATCGCACATCTTCTCCAATGCCCTGTATGCGTCGGCCCACATCTTCTCCTTGCATAATCCTAAGACCAATGCTGTATACGAATAAACGTTTAGAGAGAGTCCTCTCTTCTTCAAGTTACAGAACAGAGTCAATGCCTTATTGCTGCAACCTGACTTGCAAAGACCAAACAGAATTTGGTTGTACATATACACATCTGGCACAAACTTCCTATTTACAAGCACCATGAAAACCTCATATGCAATCTCAGCGCTGCCACTTTTCAATAGAATCGAGACAATGGCATTGGCGATAGGGAGAGTCGGAAAGTAACACAGACTGAGCATTAGGTCGAACACCTTCAGTGCAAGTTCAAAGTTAGAGCCACTAACAGCTTTCTTGATGAGTCTATCTACCGTGGTGAACGAAGGCACGAATCCGCAGCGAGACCACATCTCTTCGAGTACCGCGTGCGAGGCGTCGAGGTGGCCTAGCCGGAGCAGCCCGTTGAAGGCGGTATTGAAGGTGAGGGCGTTGGGCGCCGGGCCGACGGAGCGCATGTGACACAGCACGGCGGCTACATGCTCCGCGGCGGCGACGTGTTGCGCGGCGGCTTGCCCGGACCGGAGGTAGGCGTGGAGGAGGGCGTTGTAGTCGTGGGCGCCTGCGGGCGCGGGCCGGAGGAGGGCGAGCGCGTCCAGCGCCGCGGCCAGGTTCCCCTCGGCGGCCGACGCCCGCATGCGGCGGCGGAGGAGCGTGGCATCCGCGGGGCCGTGGGATTCGGGGTCCACGTCGGAGTCGGAGGTGGAAATGGAAGCTTCGACGGGGGAGGCGGCGGCGGTGGCGAGAGCGGAGCGGAAGCGCAGGCGGACGCGGCGGCATGAGGCGAGCATAGGATGGGGGGCAGTTCCTACCAGCTGCGATGTGATGTTCGATTCATGAGGAGGACGGTGATGCCGGAGGCGGAGGTGGTGGTGGTGGTTGGGCGGCGCCGCCGACGCGCGGGCTGTGGAGGAGCGGTGGCGGCGCCGACGGTGGCGGAGGGAGGCAGGAAGCGGCGTGTGGAGGAGGAGGCGGCGGCGCCGCGTCGCGCGTCGGCGTGTGGGCGTGGAGGAGGCGGACTGGCGGTTGCTGGGCTGGATGGTTAGGTTTTTCGGTTAATTGTCTAATTGATGGGCTGAATGGGCCAGTATAGTGTGTCTTATGGCCGAATAAAATGGAATAAGTTCATCATAGGTCCCTTAACCGAATCCGATTTTCGTCCTTCAACTGGAAAACCAGATCGGGTCCCTCAACTATCACACCCGGTGCAGATGAGGTCCCTCAGCGTTTTAGATGGCGGTTTTGGCAGACGTGACGCTTAGTGGCTAGTTTGTCTCTGTCTTCATCTGACGTGACGCTTACGTGGCAATTCGAACCGGAAAAGTAATAAAACTCGTGGGACCCACGGATCAGTTTCACACATAAACTAATAAAAAATAGTGAGCCCCACATGTCATCCTCACTCCCTTCTTCCCTCTATCCCCTCTCTCTCTTCTTCCCTACAATGTGGACTGGGGCGGCGGGCGGACGAGCGCAACCGCGGCCGAAGCAGCAGCGCACGAAGCCGACGGGGCGGTGGCAATCCTCCGCCGACGCCGATATCCACAGCAGAGGTGCGCGTCCTCCTCCTCCTTAAACCCGTCACCATCGGTGGCCGTCCCCCCTGGGCCTCCGCCCGCGGCTCCTCTCCTTCCGTCGGCCGGCAAGCAAGATACACAAACAATTAGCAGAAAGGCCGACCCTATCGGCATCGGCAAGCATTCCCCGATCCAAGCTAGCTTCTACCAAACATCGACTCAGTGGATCTCAAGGATGTGTCCGACCAGCCAGATTTTACTTAGGCCTCCATCCAAACAGTCTCTAAAACCACCTTCTACCTATGGCCTGTTTGGCACAGCTCCAGCTCCACCCCTCCTGGAGCTAGAGCTCAGCCAAACAGTTTTAGCTCCACCAAAACTGAGAGTGGAGCTAGGTGGAGCTCTCTCACAAAATGAACTAGAGTTGTTGAGCTGGGTTTAGGCAGCTCCACAACTTTACTCCAGACCCAACTTCTAGAGCTAAATTTAGGAGTTGGAGCTAAATTGAGGGCTTGTTAAATTTGTTTGGTTTAAATAATTAAAAATGTCAAATGTCTGGTCGTGTAATTCGGATCAGGAGCGAATCCAGAAAATGAATGGTAGGAGGGCTTGTCTCATTCCTCCTCTAAGGGCATCTCCAACAGCTTCCCCAAATCGAACTCTCCAAACACTCATATAGCCAACTCTCCATCTGATTTAGCTAGTCAAATTAGATACTCACTCCAACAGACTCTCTATTAATCCTCTCCAAAATAAAAATAGACCCTCAGCCTCTACCATCTTCTTTCTCTCTCTCCCCCCACCTTCCTTCTCTTTCCTTCTTTTTCCCCTTTTCCTTCCTTCCCGTCGACCACGTTGATGCCGACGGTGGCTGACACATGACGCGCGGTGGTGCAGCAACGCGGGGAGGCGGAAGGCGGTGCGGGGAGGCGGCGCTCGCTGAGGTGCTCTCCCTCTCCCTTTGCGGCGACGAGGCGACGGCGGCGGAGCTCGGAGCGGGATGGCGATGGCGGCGGCGGAGCTCGGGGTGGGGATGGCAAAGGCGGCGGCTCTCCACAACGACGACTTGGCGAGGCGACGACGACGGCGAGGAAGATGCAGCCACGACAGCACATGGGCAGGGATGGCACTGGAGGCACATGGCGGCCACGGCGACGGAGTCGAGGGAGAGGCGCGGGAAGCCGCAAGGGGTGGCCCTCTGCTCCTCGCCGGCCTTGCCTGGTCCTCCGCCGCCTTGTCGCCGTGGCTCCGCTGGTTCCGGGAGGCAGGGGCGAGAGAGAGGAGGGAGGGAGTGAGGTGGAGCGCGGGGACTCGGTTCCAGGCGATGGTGGAAGGGGGACGGCAGGGGAGGCAGGGCAAAAGAGGCGCTCGCGCCTCCGGTCCATTTCGGCGGAGGGCGGCGATGGAAGCAGCCGAGGCAGCGTTGAAGAGTTTGGGGACAGAGAGAATGCGAGATGTGGGAAGAAAAATATGGTTGTGGGTCCCACAATCCCACAGTTGGAGAGCCAGTTTTGGCTGGCCAAGTTTAGCCACCTAGGGAGCCCCTTTGGCCAACCAAATAGCTTCGAGAGTAGGATAGCCAGTATGTTGGAGCTCGTTTTTTTTTTCAAAATTTCTAAATTTTAGTTTGGGGAGTGAAATAGCTATGCTGTTAGAGATGCTCTAAGCCCCTACTCTTTTTCTCCCTCTTCTTCCTCCTCCCATATCTCCCTTTCTCTTAATGGTCATTCAGCGGGGTAGGGGGCTTGAGCTCCTAGCACCTACGCTGGATCCACCTCTATTCAGACCGTTACAATCTCTACGGCAATAGTTAAGGGGCATAATTTAGACTTTTTCTATATTTTTATCCTAGTTCTAGGTTAGAACTTAGAACCAAGCAAGCCCTAACCATGCACGTTATTATTCACGGGTAAATCGTAATCGTACTCTCAGCTACCAAAACAGTTAACGTGCAGGGCAATACAGGTTCAAGAATCAAGAGAGAGAAGACTAGGAAATATCCGCACAAATTTTTTAACGCGAGCGATGCGGAGTTAGGCCAAGTAATCCACGATCTCCACGAAACAGATTGAGCATAAATATGGGTTATTATTTGCGACCGCGTTCGTTGAAACCCTACAACGATCTTAATTAGGAGTGGTACGTAGGAGTAGCGCGCTAACCTCTTCTCATCCCATGCAGCACGCCGACGACGACATGCCAACCCACCGGCGGTGGGCCGACCTCCACGCCGGCCTCGTCTCGCGCGTCGCCGACCTCTGCGCGCTCCGGGGCTACGCCTCCTGCCGCGCCGTCTGCGCCTCGTGGCGCGCGGCGCTCCCGCCGCCGACCTCGCGGCCGCTCGCCCCCGTCGCCGACACGGCGAGCCGCCACGGGCCACTGTCGCTGGCCGTCTGCTCCGTCCACGCGCAGCGCTGGTCCCGCCTCCTCGGCCTCCGCCAGCCGTCGGGGCTAGCCAACGCCACCGGCGCCAGCCGCTGCGTCGGCGCGCGCGACGGGTGGGTCGTCCTCGCCGCCGCCAACGCGAAGGGCGCCGCCGCCGCCGCCGCGAGCGTCGTCCTGCTGTTCAACCCGGTCACCGGAGTGGAGATCCCGCTGCACGCGTCGCTGTACGATCCCAACTGCGAGCGCGCGCCGGCGGCGTCGACGTCGCCGGCGCCGAAGGTCGTGTTCTCGCCGTGCCCCACAGCGCGTGACCTCGCCGCGGTGAGCATCTGCCGGCCGAACAGGCTCGCCGTCCAGAGGACAACCGACGGGCACTCCTCCGCCCTCGTCCTGGACACCGCCGCGCTCATGGACAGCGACGACCTCGCCGACGTCGCCTTCGACGGCAACGGCAGGGTGGCGTACTGCCTGACGAGGCACGGCGCCGTGCACGTGCTCCGCCTCAACCGCCGCCGCCACCGCGGCAGGCTGCGACCCATCGAGATCGAGCCACTCGTGGCCGGCGCCGTCTTCCCCTCGCCGTACGACACCATCGCCCGGTTCACGGACGCCAAGAACCTGGTGCTCTGCGGCGGCGCGCTGTACCAGGTGTGGAGGCGGCCGAGCGGCGCGGGCTCCGCCGTCGCGCCGGCCGGGATCTGCGACCAGCAGCTGCTCCTCATCCCGGAGGGCGCCGTCTTCGTCCTGAGGTACGAGCCGCCGGCGTCGGCGGCGGCGGGGGGGAGCCGCCGGCCGCCGTGCTGGTCGGAGTCGAAGGATCTCGGCGGCCACGCGGTGTTCCTCGGGGCGAACGACGCCGCGGCGGCGGCGCGCTGCGGCGACGGCGCGGCGGAGCTGATGAGAGGCGACTGCTTGTACTACTGGGCCAGCCGCGCAGAGGGGGACTACGAGGCCTTCGTGTACAGCATGGCGGACAGGATGTCCACGCGGTTGCCGCCGGCGACCGGTGGCGTGTCGAGCCCGCTTTGGTACTTCTTGCCGGCCGGCGCGGCGAACGTGCAAGCAACGACGACGACCGCTATGGAAGCTGCATCAGAGGAAGTGAGCGTCGCAGTTATTACAGTATAATTTCATGGTTCATATCACACCGGTCTCTCTATATAGGAGTATGTGCTAGTACTAGCTACTATCTTAGCTTAGTAGCTTGTTAGGATGGGTGGTTTGATCATTAATTAGCCAAGAGTTCTTTGTTTTTTTTGGTGCGAACTATGCTAGTATATATACTATTTATATTAAGCTTCATGTTGTCATTTTGGGTTCGATTTACTGTATGCTTGCTCAAAAGTATGCGTGAGCACGGGAAGAGTTTATCCCGTACGTCCTCGAGGGAACTTTCTCGTGTTTTTCTATGTCGCCCAAAAAATCGTCAAAAAAAATTAAAATGATTTAGTAAGATAGATTAGTATAGTGTGTATGGCTTCATAAACATTCAAGTCATATTTAACATATACAAGTAGACAAAAATATGACAAATTTGACCCTAAATATAACACATAATTCATGGTTAAATTTATTATTTTGCTTGATCAACCTTATCATTTTTTTTCAAATTCTTTTGATATTCTTTTAGATAGCATGCATAAAATAGGGAGCGTCCTCTCGAGGGACAAAAATCAATCTCCACACGAGCATATTAATTGTCATGTTGTTAGTTTCGAGGTCGATTAATATATTCTTTTCTTATATAAAAAGGCATACTATTAGTTCACATGGGATACCCTTACAAGCATCGCATAGATGGCGTGATGCTGAGCGTAGTGCTACAACCAAAGGCATATCACTTTCGATGGTAATACTGAAAGCAACTTAGGTGTTCCAAAAAAGGGAACGGGAACATCGTCTTCTCGCTATTGTTCTTTGTGTTCCTAAAAGGGAACATAAAGCAATGCCTCTCTTTACGGGCTTAAGGTAATGAGGAGTGTGCGAAGGTAGACACCAAAGGCAGTTAAGAGTGCTAAAGTGTTTAGGAGTGTTGTTAGTGGCACACAATTCTCGATATATAGAATCAATTATTCTCTATCCACCTTTGAAACTAATAAAAATTCACTGACCATTATTGGTGGGAATATCTTTACAATTTTGATGACTATGATTTGAACTTTACTTGTAGATCCAGTGAGTTGGGCTTCTCTAGTTGAGGCATGGATTAGGGCATGTTGGTTGCAGCCCTGGTGGTTTTGTCTGACCTGATATGCAAGCCTGAGGTCCGCCTATAGCTTGTTTGGTTGACCTCCTGGTGCACTCGCTCAGTTGTCTAACTTGACAACCGGTCCATGTTGATTAGCCTGGCTCAGGCCACCAAATTGCAACGCCTCACTCATGCAACTAAGGAGGCAAGGGAGATAAAGGTGATTTGGTAGCTATGGGTCCAATTATAATTGCTTTCTTACTGATCTCCTCGAGCATATGTCTTGAACCAAACAATCTCAGGCAACAAGTCAGGGATCTATCTTCAATTTCTCCTGCTAGCTTCAGGCGTTGGTTTTCGTTAGGCATTTCTCTTAGGTCAGCAACCAAACATGCCATTAGTTTTGAACCCGTGATACCTCTTTTTTTTTAAAAAAAAAAAAACTCTGGTTTTGGTCTTCACTAGTTGAAGTCGGTCATGGCATCAACCTAATCAATATTTTCTTCTTGAAGGCATCACACATGAGAATTGGTAGGTAAAAAACTTGATTTTAACTCTATTGATTGGATCGGGCAGTGACGATGCAAATTATATACTTTTAAAATGCATTTCATGAAACCGAGACTTCAAATACCTCTTTGTTGCGATCTTACTTTCCGCTTACACTTGGTGTTGAGATTATAGACATATAATGATTTAATCTATTCCATAAATAAATCATGACATTACAGATGAAAACTAGCATGAACACATCATTAGATCTATACATGTAAACTACACAGTATAACATGAACAGATCAAATATGCACAACATATTGAACACGTACCGAGGTGACGGAAAGACCGGTTGCTTGGTCGAAACTTTTCGCCGGTGTCTACGAAGACACGAAACACGCAAGCGAAGAGGAAGGCGAGCCGTCGCGAACAAACAGGGAGCAGTCGCGCGAAGCGCTTTCCAAATACCTTATTGCCGCCTTCTCCCGGTGCAGGACGTCGAAGGCAGAGGTTCCGGAGACCTGCTCTCCCGATCGCCGGTGCACGCCGGCGAGCGGGATGGAGTAGTCTACGAGCGACGGCGCAGTACAGAGTAGGAGGCAAACCCTAGATTGATTTCGCTTATGTTGCGTGAAGACGGCAGGTCGGTTTATATAGAGAAGGGTCGCTTGATCAGGGCGCCCGCACGATCTCTACTGCGCGTAACCGAACCGGATAAGTCGCGCGTAACTTATCCGGACTCCACGCCGTTTGCACGCACCGGATTTTTCGGAACGTTTCCAAAACAAAAACGAATCCGAATTTGCAGCAAAACAAAACTGCAAAAGGAGGCTGCATCTGCGCAAGGGTGAGGAGCCAATTTTTCGGACCATTCGACGCGTACGTCGTGCACGCGCGCCGCCTGCCCTGCCAGGCGAGGCGAGCGAGCGCGCGCGTATGTTTCCCCTCTTCTCTCCACCACACATGCTTCAAGTGGCTAGGAGGGCATCCTCCCTTTTAAGGAGGTCCCCCTCTCCTAGAATAAGTAAGGTGGTACTAAACTCCACATGCATGCCATCCCATGAGGTGGGCTTTTGTGATTTTCCAAAGAATTAATCTTTGAGTGGGCTAAGGCCCATTCATTAATTCCAACACTTGGTTTCCTATTGGTTGCGATGGCTGATGACAAGGCTATATATTTTCTTTCTTTTCAAGACCGGCCATAACTTTCGGTGTTAGTGTTTATAGTTAGTAATGGTGTAACCTGTAATGCATGTGTATTTGTACTTGATGAACCCTTTTTTTATTTTTTTTATGATGTTGGTTAGTTTTTTTTAGATAATAGAATATAATATCCCGGTCTTTACTTAAAAAGAGTTACAGTCAATTATTATAAAGTAGCACTCTAGAAAAGAGTGTAGTTCAAATAAAATAGAACGCACAAAACACACAAAAGAGTGAATCAAACCAAAATAAGAAGAACACATTTATTCTAGCCTATTTGTGAATCACCATCTATAGTTGGTAAAAGGTTGCATAACAGTCGTCTCCATCTTGCGACATGCAACTTTTAGAAACTCCCAATCATTATCACACCTTTGTAACTGTGCCCACAACCGGAGCCAGTGTGTTGCCCTGAAAATTACCTGCATATAGGTGATAGATGTTGATTTGTCAAAAACCATATCATTTCTACTCAACCATAGAGCCCAACAAATTGCAGAAGCTCCAACAAGTATCAGTTTTTTCTTTTCCTTGTCAACACCCAAAAGCCACCCTAAAAAATATAAGATATACTTGTAGGAAGATTAAAACCAAAAGAAAACTGAACTGCTCTCCATATGAACTTTGCATAATGACAATAAAAAAAGAGATGTTGAGTAGAGATATACTTGTAGGAAGATTAAAACCAAAAAAAAAACCGAACTGCTCTTCATATGAACTTTGCATAATGACAATCCAAAAAGAGATGCTGAATAGACTCATTTTTCATAAAAAAAACAACACCTCAAGCTGCCATTCCGATTCCGTCTCACCAAATTATCTTTAGTTAACACAACTCCTTTAAGTAACTATCACACAAAGATTTTAATCAATGGTAAATATTTTGAATGGGAGGGATCGGAGTAGATGACGAGTTTATAACTCCCTTATATAGAAAACAAGTTTCTTTGAGGTCAATTTCTGTAACTTGCAAAAGTATTTGATATGCGTACGTGTTTCTTGTTTTTATGTACATAACCTTGCTCTGACGAGTTAGCTTCAGCTCAGTCTGCTTAGATAAGCATATCGTTGCTACGACAGCTGCAATTGCAGCCACAAACAGCTGGAATAATATTTTAAGATGCGTTGCTAAAATAACCTCTTATATATATGCTTATCTTGCTTCTAACCAAGAAAATAAGTTATGAAGAACAAATACCAAGTCGGTTTGACTTACATTAGCCAAATTGTAAGAAAGTTTAACCCAAATCAAACAAGCAACTTTTCTATTAGTATTTTGCAAATAAATGTCACTCTTACATGACAGGAAAAAAAAAACTATCTTATAACCGACGTTGTCAATATGACTTTGATTTTTTTTCACCTTAATTAAAAGTTACTACTCACTTATAGACTAAATACTCCTGAAGCATTTCTTATTACTCCTTAAGGGCCTGTTCACTTTTGGCATGTTCACTTTGATACCATTTTTAAGCTTACCAAATTTTGGTAAAGTTGCTAAAAAAGTGGCTACATTTAGTTTGCTGCTAAATTTTGATAACTATATAAGAAATCCTGCCAAAATTTTGGTAAGTTACCAAAAATTTTTGGCAACTATGCTAAAATTTTGATAATGCCAAAATTTGGTAATGTTTTTTTTGGCATCAAAATGAACAGACCCTTTGATGCAAAAAAAAACATTACCAAATTTTGACAACTTGCCAAAATTTTATCATGATTTCTTATATAGTTACCAAAATTTAGCAGCAAACTAAATGTAGCCACTTTTTTTAACAACTTTACCAAAATTTGGTAATATTAAAAATGACATCAAATGAACAGGCCCTGAATGAATGAATGAGAGAGTTGTCCTCCTTTCTTTCGCCTCACTTCCTGGCTCCTGCTATAAGAAACACTTCTCTTCCCGTAAAAACCGATTAAAGAAACCAATCATGATACATAAAACCAATCAACCTATTCTGTTCAAATACTTTCACTAAACTGAATAAAGAAACGTTACGACAGACGGGCCTATAACCAGTAACAAGTTGAAAAACAGTTTGGCACGAGGCAAAATATACTCCCTCCGTCATATAAAAAACCAATTTAATATTAAATATACGTTTTCTAGTACAATGTATCTAGACATTAGTATGTCTAGATTTGTTGTATTAGGAAACGTCTAATCCAATACGAGGTTAAGTTTTTTTTAACGGGAGAGTAGACGGTAATCATAAAGAGGGCTTAATCACCTTCTTTTTTTTTTAAGCACGCACATAGGAAAAACATCAGGGTATGCGGGTATGCAGGCGTTCAACACTTCAACGTACTACGAGACAAGGACGCCAAAAAAATACTTCAGCCGACCGCTCCGACGTGTAACTGTCACCGGGCCCAATAATTCGTGGGCCCCACACGCCATCCACATAATAACTCCCTCACCCCCACAGCCCATTGACCTCCTTCCTCCTACACCCACCCACCCAACCCAAGCCGTCGTCGCGTTCACACACGCGCACCCTCTCTGCCCCCACAATCCATCCCGTCCTCTCCTCCTCCCTCGCCCGACGCGCATCGCCTTCGCCATGGACGCCGCGAGCCGCACCTGGCCGCCCCCGACCCCCTCCCCGCCGCCCTTCTCCTCCCGCCCCCGCGTCGTGGGCCCCCCGCCGCCGCCGCCGTCCGACCCTCCGCCGCCGCCGCCGCCCCACCACCACCACCACCATCGCCGCCGCCACCGCCACTCCAAGAAACCGAAGCCTCAGCCTCAGCCTCAACCTCCGCCTCCGCCGCTGCCGCCGCAGCAGCAGCAGCAAGAGCCCGCCGCCGGCGCCGGCGCCGGCGCGGACTTCTCCGCGCTGCCGCCGGAGCTCGTGCACAGGGCGCTGGCGGCCGCGGGGGCGTCGGACGTCGCGGCGGCAAGCCGGGCGTGCCGCGCGTGGCGGGACGCGCTGCGGCCGCTCCGGGAGGCCGCGGCGCTGCACGCGCGGGGGCGACGCGTCAAGCACGCGGCAGGCGCGGCCGCGGCCGCGGGCGCCGAGGGGCGGAAGGCGGAGAGGCAGCGCGCGCTGGGGCTGTTCCAGCGCGCGGCGAGGCTGGGGTCCGCGGCGGCGATGGTGGACGCCGGGCTGATGTGCTGGGAGGAAGGGCGGCGTGACGAGGCGGTGGGGTGCTACCAGAAGGCGGCGGAGCTAGGGCACCCCGTCGGGATGTGCAATCTCGGCGTCTCCTACCTAGAAGGTACCCCCGGATTTTGGCCTACGGGATCAATAGCTTTCTTGGATACTCGATCGAGACTGTAGCCGAAAGCTTTGACGAATCTTAGGACGAATTGGGTTTGCTCACAGCATGATTAGAACCATTCGTGTTTAGGGCAAAGTTTTGACCTTGCTCTGTCGCTGGCGTTTGTCTTTTTGTGATTCTTTTAGTAACCTTTAACTCAAGTCTGATTCTAAACTAGCAGGGGAGAAACCTACTGGGTTGTTGTTGTTGCTGCAATCATATTCTTCATCTCAACGAATTGCAACTGATTGTTGCTGCCAAATCATTTTTTAGCTGATCCACCCAAGGCTGAGGAAGCTGTTAGATGGTTTTATCCAGCTGCGGCTGCTGGCAATGCTCGTGCTCAATACAACCTGGGCCTTTGCTTGCAGAATGGGAAAGGAATCAAGCGTAACCAGCGGGAAGCTGTAAGATGCCTCCTCTTGTTACATTTACATCTGCATATCGCAAATTTTCCCCGAAACAGAAATACGCAGTTACTATAGATGTATCCAATTGTTGAACCAGCATCATTTATTCTTTGTTGTGGTATCTTGTTTCTACTCCTACAAGCTATGGACTGTATGAACTAAATTATAGTCAGGCAATTTAGAGCTGTACGATTTAGGGATAATTTACCAATTTATCAGCTCCGTTGTGGTTTTTTAGCGAGTTTTATTTTGATCTCACATTCCATTGTTTACAATGTGATCTATCAAAACTGAGATAACCAGAGTTTTTGACAGAAAGGAGCTTTTTGATCTGGTTGGGTTTCCCTACCGATGTACTCATAATTGCACCATCATGATCAGTCTGAATTTGCTAAATTGGCGGTCTCAAGATTACCACCACTGTAGCGCACAAAGTTGACTGTGTGCTTTATTGCCTTGAATCTGCTTGTTTAAAATAAGGAACTTTGCAAATGCAGGCAAAATGGTACCTGCGAGCTGCAGAGGGAGGAAATGTGCGAGCCATGTACAACATTTCCTTGTGCTACAACTATGGTGAAGGATTTTCACAGGATCAAGTGCGTTCAAAGAGGTGGCTGCAATTAGCTGCTGATTGCGGTCACAAGAAAGCTCTTTATGAATGTGGTATTAAACTTTGTGCGGTATGTCATTCCATTTCACCTAATGAATGAATCATCTAACTGTGTGGAAACAACGTATTAATTATATATTCCTTTTCTGTTAGCCACCATGCAGTTCTTCCAATTGCACATTTTAGTGCATAAGTTTAGGCCATGTAATAAGGTAAGATATGTAAATACTTGTCATAACGGTTTGGTTAAGGGCGTTTCAAGAAACAGAATACGGTGTGTGTGCTATTTTAAATTTTAAAAAGCCAATATCTTTAATAACAGAATTAGTTTGAAATTGCCAAAAACTTGTATGTTTGTACTGAAGTAGTATCAGCTGTATAACTTATGTCATCGTCGTTCGTACTATTCCTACTGCTTCATCAATGTTGGCGTGTTATGCATTTACTTATGCCTTTTTTTTATGATGATTCTTCTCTTATTTAGGCAGGAGACAAGGTGAGGTCTCTTATGTATCTAGAGTTGGCGACGCGCCGTGGAGAAGCTGCTGCCTCACATATGAGGGATGTAATACTTGAATCACTTTCCCTTGTGAATGCGCAACGTGCCCTGTCAGATGCGGATAAATGGAGACCAAGAGCACTGTATACCAGAAGATGAGCAAATGGGCCCATCACACGTATACCAAGTTAATAACCCCTTGATGCCAAAAGTAAAATGGAAATTCACCACCTGAAGGCCCAAGTGAGCAATATGCATCTGTGGCATACTCTAGTGTATGTGGAACTGTGTATATGTTAACTTTCAAGCCCCTCTCTCCTTTTCTTTTGTACAGAAATTATGACAGCAGAAATACTGTTACAGAAGGTCAAGTGGCAATAATATCCCTGATGCAGCATAGGATAGAACTTTATAGTTGAATTGTTTCAGATTGTAATAAATAGGAACAACTGGTGTTTTTTTTTCGCTGAAAAAGTGTGGATGTAGGTCCAATGCAGTGAAAAGTAATTCTGTGATCAGCTGTTCTAAATTGATGGTTGGTGGAATTTGCCTTTGTGAAATTTGAAGGGTTAAGGGAATCTCTGTGCGACTGTGGCCCATACATTGTTGACGGCAATGTACTAGTGAACAAATTCTAGGTGATTTTATCGTGCTATATAGTCATCTCCAGATGGATGTTGGTTATGATCGCATCAAATTCATCCTTTGGTTTCTATTTTGAACATCAGTCTTCCCTACGGTGCATCAGTTCCAATTTAGCTCAACCGTTTTATGCACATGGCTGCTTTTGATCTGCAGATGTTATTGATGTCACAATAATTGTACTACTAAACGGTACCGTATGTCTAGTTGAGTCTGCAGTTCCCATCGCAATCGCTGTATACATCAGCAACCCCACAGAATCTGCAAACTGCATCTAGTTTCTTCACAGAGAAAATGATAAGCACATGACAAGGCTGTCTAACACGCGCTTTTATTAATACAGGCATTAACGTCAGCCATCCCAAATTTCACCAGACGTGGCTCAAGTTCACAAATCAAATGGCGCAACAGGACACATTTCACAAATCAAACAGCGCAGCAGGAAAGTCATAACAGTACAGAACACAGGAATAACACCATGGGAGTAGCTTTTATTTGGGGCAATATAGTGACGAGAAGCATACGTAGCAGTGACATGCCACAGTTGCATTTCTTCGAAACGAAGAGCAGCGGAAAGCTCTTCAGAGCTTCGAGATGAGGCCGTTCTGGATGGCTTTGGGCGACTCGGCTTCCTTGATGTCAGCGTCGGAGGAGCCGGGAGGCACGTCGACCGCCGGCGAGCAGTTGAAGAACCCATGTGGCTGAAAAGAATTAAACAAGACACAAACAGGCTTTGAGCTGATACTGTAAAAACCAGAACGGTGGAAACTAGAGAAGTCGTCTGCCAAAGAGGAGATATGAAAGGCTACAAGAGAAGGTCTTTGTTCTAAAAAAAAAAAAAGGTCTTTACCATGAGCATGAAGCCGATGCGTTCCACTGGCATGACAGGCCAGTCCTCCAGCCTTGGGATATGGGTGAGCCCAAACACATACCTGCAGATGCAGTGTATAGTTAACAACAATATTCCCAGTCGTGAACCGAAGAAAGTTACACAGATGCATCGTAGTAGCAAGTATACCAGAGAACAATGTCAGTTTCCTCCAGGGGCCTATCCTTCTTGACCCAGGTAGCTAAGCCCTCGTGGATACGTGGATTCTGATTGGGGAACTCCCCTCCAGGGAACACCTCGTCGCTCTTGTACTGCGTGACCCAGAGATTGTGCTTCAGGAAACCCGCTCTCCTCAGAAACTTTGCCTCGGGTAGAGCCAGCGGCAAACAGTTTGAACCAGGCACGAGCCTGTAGCCGGTTGGCTGCCCAGTACGATTAACAGCCCTTGTGTTCCTTACCTGATCAGATGTCAACAATGTTAGGTAGGAAAGAAAGATCGGTATGTATGATCAGCTGCCACAACACAAAATAATGTTCTTTACTCTGAGAGTTAGAGTTGTGGCCTAAGCTATCTGTTATTAGGTCAAGAGTAATGCAGCTAATAAGTGCAAAATAATAGCACTGCTATAAAGCAGCAAGTCAATGCGTCATTTCTGAAGAAAGAAAACAATGACCAGGTACTGGAAACGTTATCATGGTACATCAACACCGGCACAATATAAAAGGGATGATACTGAAAGATGATGCTCTTACGATCCAATGCCGTGCAGATGAAGGGTCACAATCTCGCATTGCTTGCAGCTCAGATTTCAGTAGTTTTTCCTCGGCATAGAAAGCGTTGTTGTGCACATTATGTGTGCCTGCATTTTCAACTTTCACATTTACCTCAACCACCTGTGATAGAAAGCAACATATCAGACTATCAATACATGCCAAGTTCAAGCAAAAGGCCCTACTACTACTAGAACTAAACTTCACCCACTGTAGACAAGTTACTTGTACAAACAGCAGGTCTAAATCAAAGTAACATTATGATAGGCCTTATTGTGGAACTAGGTGGAAAACTTCTATTCAGTATATCCAGCAAAACTTTAATTGAAATGCATAAAAAGCAACCCACCTGATTATGAGCCTCGTTAGGTTTACAATCAACAGCCATGTCCATACGGGCAACAAAAAAGTGTTGGTGAACAGGTGCATACAGACCAGGAGCAATGGTTGTACCATATTTTCTTGATTCCCCAGGCATCAGAGCTCCCAAACTAAGAATTCCAGTAAGTTTTACTTCTGCTTCTATCTTGCCATCCTATATCCAACAGAATGAACAAATAAATTATATTGCAAAAATATGTGGTAGCAGAAAATTAAAGCATCAAAAAATTCATTAAGGAACTAAATTCAGATATGTATTCACTATCTCATGATGTTTGCAACAGCCAAATCGGAAATAATTCATGCATAACCGTACCAAAAGCTACAGAAGGAATATCAGCCTTTATAGGTTACAGCTTAATCGCTGAGGGCATTATAAGGAATAGTCAGTTGAAACAATTACCTGATAAAAGTGCCAGTAAAAACCATATTCATAGTTGGCAACTGTGCAGATAAATGAAACAGTAAGCCTCCTTGACCTCCTAACTTCTGCTAAACCAGTTCTCCAATCCTGGTGTTTCCAAAGGATTCCGTGGTCTTCCTCATGCAAACATACACAATTCTCAATTGTTTCCACACCACCCGTAAAATTCGTGAAGTGTGCATCAAAATACTTTATGAAACCTAAACAGTCACATCCCTACAAAAAAAAAGGCATATAATAGTCAGATGAAAGTTAAAACTCTCTGGAGGTAAAAAATCATTAAGAACTGAGCAAGCACCCTCTTAAGAGAATGAGCATTCTTCCCAAGTCCATCTTCTCCAGCATCAAAAGCATTCTTGCGATAATGTGGTTCATTGGGATCTCCATAAGGAACAACCATCTCAACAAAGCTGAGCCTATGAGCTATCGGCCGACGTCCACGGCTGCCATCAACATATGCAACAGAATAGATGACCAAACCCTCTTTAGGGGTGAAGCCAATACGGAAGTTCCACTGCTCAACATCATTAAAAGTGTTATTAATTCCAGGGGGAAATATTTTTTTGTTTATCTCATCATAATAGAGAAAAGCTTTACACAACAATGCACCTTCTGCCATTCCACAAAATATCCGTTAATGCGGAAGCTCGGGCCCTCAGGTTGATTGATAATAAGAGGTTTCAAATCACTTCGATCAACACCACCTCTCGTTTCCCCAGGAGTGTAGTTTCTCAGATGATCTGGTGGGGGGAGAGGAACCAACTTCCTATCTTCAAATTCTATGACAACGTTATTCTGCATATCAACAATAACATGGATCCCTTCCACAGGACGTGCATAACCATTCTCCATGGGACTATCACTGTCAGTTCTGCAAAAGATTAGAGGCTTGCCAAGTCTGCGGCTGGGAGCATCAGCATCACTGTAGTAGCCAGCACACCTGATGATTTAGAACAATGTTCACATTATCATTTTCCATATGATGATTCTAAGACAACAAAGCCAGCTATGAGATATAAAACAAAAGAAGTTTCCTAAAGCTTAGCTTACCAGGCATCTACCATGACAAGTTCCATGTCATCTACACCTCTTCTCTTCATAGCTTCAATAAATGGAGGATAGCTTTTGACAGTAGCTTCACATTCAGCATACTCCATAGCATCCTGTGAAATATAGAAATTTGAACTGAGCGCTCCAAAAGGTTCTAAAAAACTTCAAAAGAAAAAACAGTTCAAGCTGTAATACAAGCATAAATATCGGAAAACTAATAAATTGTGTCCTAAAAGCAATGACAGCAAACAATTCAAGCTGTAATGCAAGCATAAATACTGGAAAACTAAGAAATCATGTTCTACAAGCAATATTTGCAGAGTAAATTTAAATGTTGTCTTGAAGAAATTTCACAGACTAAATGATTGGAAAATTGGGACAAAACAATCAAAGGAAGGAAAAAAAAAACTAAACAAATTTATTTTAGGCAATACCATTGCAGGCTGAACTTCTGGAACAACTTCAGATGATATCACTTTCCCTCTGTGATGTCCACCCCTAGTAGCCGCATGCACCTCAGAGAGTTCTACTATCCAAATGCTAGTCTCATTTGATTGTCTATTGTAGACTGTGAGCTTGGCCCTCCTAGGGGGCAACCTGCTTGGAATGACAGCAGAGCCTTTGGTTCTAGGAAGCAGTGATGGTTGGAATGGTGGGAAAAAGTAGGCATCAGCTAATGCCACGACATTCTTTTCTGGCTCCAATAGCACCACTTCAACAAAACGCATGCCATCACGTTCCTGCAAATTCAGAAACCTCTATGTCAGCTCCTTTTTTTTAAGGTTGTAGACAAAAGTACATGGAATATTATTTTGACGAACCTCAGGCGATTTTCCAGCAGCTCTTACAGTTGCTATAGCCACTGCAATTTCAGCAGCAGATAATGGATCTAAAGGGTGGCTTCTCTGGGCTCTGGTCATTATAGGTATCCCTGCCATTTTGTTCCATCCAGCAGAACATTAGAAACGGGTAATAATAATGAATATAATTCAATTAAGACATGTATGCTGAACAGGTCACTCAAACAACTTCCAAGAAATTACAAAAATATACATGCATAGACCAACAACAAATAACCAAACTCCTGCATGAACATACAGACCTCTTCAATAACATAGGTCAACAATCGATAATAGATAATTTGGCAGGTCAAGTAGACCATGCTAGATGTGCTTATCAGGAAGGCTAAAGAAGCAATACATAATTTTTTTTGAACGAATAGAAGCAATACATAATAGTTAATAAAAAAGCAGTTGTTGACCTATCTGAAGATACAGATAAACAAAGCAGCGGTGACATGAATCTTAGTACATTACAGTGCAGATATATTCATTATTGTTCTATCAACTTATGTCCCCCATCTTAGATCTAGTTGTTAACAGGAAATAAAGTCCCTTATTTATACACCACATAGACATGATTGGAGAATTGTTTGATCTAATTAGACGAACACGTAGGGGTATCAACTGCATTACT